GATAGAGTTCTCTAATGGAGTTTCACGGAGTATAACAACTCATGATGTACAACAATGCTTTCTTTAAGTCTATTGCTAAAAGCACATGTACAATGCTTGTGTAACAATTGGGTGTAAGTGACAAAATGTATGGCCTATGTAGTGTTTCCTCATTAACATACCATTGAGCCTGTTGACAATATCTGAGTAGTTTTCCCCCAAGTGGATAACTAGGCAAACATAAAGGAGGCTTAGCACCAAGGGACATGATCTGAACCTGGGGCAAGAGACACCACCCCAGGACAGACTGTTCCCCCGCATTCTCTACTGTAGCTCCTCTCTGAAGTACCCAGATAATAGTATCTCATGCATGTTTCCTTAATTTTTCAGATACTGAAAACCAGCACCAAATGGAAGAAACCAACTACTTGATGATCATGAACAGGTAGTAGCCCGACCTTCTGGCACCTAAGGATTGATCACCATTAACCTATCACCATTAACCAGTTAATTATGCACAGCTGATCCCATACCCTGGGCCGCCCCTCCCTCAGCTGGCCTTTAAAAAGGCTCAACTGAAACCCTTCAGAGTTTGAGGTTTTTTTGGGCACGAGCCATCCATTTTCCTTGCTCAACCCAGCAATAAGCCTTTCTCTGCTTCAAACTTTGACGTTGCAGTATTGTTTGACCTCACTGTGTGTACTTGCATTAGGTAACGGGTAAATGTTATTCATAACCCATTCACGGAGGTCTTTGAAAGGGATATTTCTTTATCACTTATTTTAACTAATAACAGGACTCTATATTATAGATTAAAACACTCCTGAATTTACATATATAATTATGATGATTGCTGCATAAATGAATGAAATTGGCAGTTTGTTCCCATCATGGAAGAGAGTAATTGCACCAAAAGGACTTATTACACTTCTGAAATTTATTGCTAAAACTATAAAAAAAAGTTAACATCTCTATTAAATTTAGAGAATGAATATTTACTTAAAAAACAATCTTTTAATTGTTTCATTTATTTGGGGGGGTAATTTGTTTTATTTACTTATTTATAGAGGAGGTACTGGGGACTGAACCTAGGACCTCCCGTATGCTAAGCATGTGCGCTACCACTTGAGCTACACTGTCCTCCCCTGGATATTTACTTTTGATACAACTTGGTGATTGCTTTTAACAGGTGCTTAGTAATTTATTCCTTCTCTATTAAGCTTTGTTAAACTTCAGTAAACTTTGGTCTTTACCAAGGAAGTACCAAGGCCAAAGTACCAAGAAAGCAAAATGAAGTTTTTTTTTTTTTTTTTTTTTTTTACTAGTCTGAGAGCAGGTACACGGTACAAGAACCTGACTGTCAAGCAGTCTGTGTTGTAGTTGTCACCCTAAGTGATAACCGGCTTCTCTCTAGGCCCAGATATCCCATCTCCTGCTAAGTTTACTTGGACCCATTCTCATTATTCCTTCTCCATTTTGGTTTCCTCAGCACCAGAGAGGAAAATGCACTAAGTTTTCAAGGTGAACGTTTGAACCTGAATATGAAGAAAGAGTAGACCTGCTTACTGATGACTTTAGCATATTATGGATTCCAAGAAGAGCAGACTTCATTACATATTTTAGGATTCCTGAGATTCTTAGTCTTCTAGGTAAGTTAGATATTTGTTTTAATTTTTTTTATTAAATTATAAATTATTTTAGAACAGAGCCCGAGTCTATTTCTAATCCTTCACACGTCCTAGCGTGGTGTGATTGTTAAATTGAAGTATGGTCTTATGCTGATAATTTGCCCCAATCCAGATTCAATATTGGGATATTTTTATGTGTCAGTCAACTAACAGCATGGTTTTGGGGGTCAAACTTTGGTTTATATATAAACTCTGTTCTTTAGTAAGAGTGCAACTTGGAGCAAGCGTATTACTTAACCTCTGAATTAATCTGCTCATCTGTAAAATTTTAATAATTATACATACCACATATAGTTGCTATAGGAAGTAAATAAGATAAGGCACATGAATTAGCCTGGTGAGGAGTCAATGCTCGTTATCATTTAAAAAAACATTACTTCTGAGGATAATTAGAGACTAACAACAAAAAGGGGCATCTTTTTGAATTCACCCTATGTGCCTGGACCGTGCCCAAGGATTTTCTGGGGCAGCAACTGGACCACACTGGTTGAGTTAGCTCTCAAATACATTCAGGTCCTGCTCTTATCTGGAAGCCAACTCTTAGGACAACCTTGTGCTCAAGAAGAGCCTGAGAAGAAGTAAGGGAATATTACTGTAATATCACACATTTAACAAACAAAAAAGGTATCCAGGTGATTCTAACATAAAGTCAGCATTGTTCTATAAAATAAATCATTTGATATTCCCTTTTGTGCTGGTTTGTTATGTAAAATAATACAGATTTAATTTTCACTCAAACCAGTTCACTAAGATATATGTATGCATGTATAGATATATGCGTCCATTTATAATATGTGTATATAGTTGACCCTTGAGCACCACAGGGGCGAGAGGTGCCAATGCAGTTGAAAATCTGAGTCTATCTTACAGTCGGCCTTCTGTATTCCTGGTTCACCATCTGTGGATTCAACTAACCATGGACAGTGTAGTCCTGTAGTATTTACTACTGAAAAAAATCTGAGTATAAGTGGACTGTGCACAGTTCAAACCCCAGTTGTTCAAGGCTCAACTGTATATGCTTTAAATATATATAAAGTTATTGCTGGATATGCATATTGGTGGGGAAATAACACGATTTCAATTTAGAGTTTAACAAATTCAGAAATAACTAACTTTAGATTACAATTCATGGTTGAGTTTCTGCTCCCGCAATATTCCAAATACTAAATTCTGACAAACCGTTTGACTACTGTGCCATTCAGATCTTTCCTCTGCTGAGATCAACAATAGCCACCAAAGAAAATCTCAGCTCCTTTGCATTTATTTGTAGGTATCTTTTAGACGACGAATGTCTGCCTGGATGCTAATATTAAACTTAAGTCCTCTGTCCGTTCATACCATTTTCCTCCTTTTTTACTGCATGTAACTTTGTTAAAGAATGCACAGCTTTTCCTCTCTAATACCCCCTTAAAATTTTTATTATGCCATTTTTTATTTTTACTCTTCATATACAAACACTGGCACTTCATAGAAACAAATAAAAATTTAAGAAGTTTAATTATAGTCCAACAGAAAAACAGCATTCCTTAGAAGCACTGATTCTGCTAGACAAGAGGAAGGAAACTTAGAAGCAAACTCTTAGCCTTCTCTTTTGATAAGATGGAAAAAACTGAGGTTTGATGTAGGTGGTAACTTGTTCAGATTTCTTAGGTAGGTACTGGTAAAAGTAGGACTAGAACTTCTGACTTGAAAGAAATTTTTTTTTCACTCCTCAGTGGCCAAAAAAAGTACAATTAACTCATTTTGGAGTTTTCATTTTTTATATTAACAATAGCAGTTTATAAGCATTTAAAGATGTATTATCCTTTGCCATTGACAAAATAAACATGCATAAGGAAAAATACTTTATTTTTAAAAGAAATCAAATGCCTACTGAAAGTATACATGAAACGCATCTTACATTAAGCCCTAAGCTTGACTGTATATGCTCCTTGTCATATTCCAATGAGATTTTGGAATTCAATTTCAAATACATTAACATTTACCAGTAGATATCAAGGAAAGCTACTGACTTTGACGAAAAAACAATTCAGTAACTGTTTACCTACCCTGAGTTACTCATCCCCACAATGTATTTGGGATTATTTGAACATTTAAAAATATAACAAAACATTTATCTTTTCATTGCATCCATCAATATGCTAAATTCTCTGCTACAATCCAAGCAAAGTGAAAGTGACCAGTGTGTTTTCGGATACTGTTCGTGATTAACAGAGTGCAATTACAGCATAAAGTATAGCCAGGAATTTATATTGTAAACATTATCTGGCTCCAAACATCTTGAAACAAATAACTATTAATATGACTGACCATACATAACACATAAGAACACAATAATTCTGGAGGGTAGTATAACTATAAAACCCCTGAAAGCAATTTTTTTTCAATCTCTTTTTTTCATTATCACCCCCCTACCCTAAGAGAGAAATTTAATAAATTTAGCTTTAAATTACATTTCTCCCTCATGAGAGAAATTTAATACTAAGGAATAAGATTTTACTGAGTTGAGATGTGGAGGGCCACAATCTTAGGATTTTTTTCACTCCAAAAACCAATTTTTGTCCTACTGAGAATACATGCCTTAAAGTGAGTAAAAATGAACAGCCTTTAATATTATTAGGGAGGAAAAAAACCTTAATGGGTAACACTGGAGGTTGAAATACATGGCTTCTTCAAACATCCCTATCTCCTCATGGCTGTGTGGTCTCAGAAGACATCACGTCTATTTCCTTGTTTTGCAAACCACAAAAGTAGCATAAAATCTGATAGTTTGGAAAAATAATTTACTCTCACTAGACTTGGTGTTCTTAACTATAAACTGAAAGAACAGGTGTAGGATCAGTTATTCCCAATTCTGGCTGCATTTTTTTCTGGGACATAATTAAAGATGTCAATGCTCATCTGTATTCCCAGACCAATTAAACCAATGTCCGGAGGTTCTGGTCTAGCCAGTGGTTCTTATACTTCAGTGTGAATCACACTATTACTAAACACAGATTGCTGGGTCCCATTCAGAGTTTCTGATTCTGCAGGTCTGGGATGGGGCCTGCAAATTTGCATTTCTAGCAAGTTTGCAGGTGCTGCTATGCTAGTGGTTTGGGGACCACACTTTGAGAATCACTGGTCTAGGCAAATGTGTGAATATGTACGTGTATCTGTTACGATACGTGTACATATATCCCCAGGTGATTCTAATCTCAGAACTATTGGTATAGAAAATATTAATAAGGTTCTTTTCAGTTGTAAGATTTAGAGGTTTTAATATAATGAGAGTTGTTGGGTATCAAGGTGATCTATCTAGAAAGGAGTCCTATGGAAAAACATCAATTTCTCGGTCACTTTTCATTATGAATTTGTTCCTATAAAGCATTTTACAGTATTTTTTTGAAAATTAACAATTTTACAGTACATTTGCTGCATATATGGTTCTTCACTTCACTTTTCAGTAAAGTTAGTTTATTTGGTTGTCAGTGTCCCATCACTTGATAAGACCAATGGAGGGTTTGGGTAATAGCCAGCCGTTTTTGAATTGTTTGAAGAGAACCTTGTAAATTTGTAGTCCAGAGGTAATTCTGGAAAAAAAGAAAAATTATTCTGCACATCTCAAAAGGCTTTTCATAAATATAAACAAATCAAAATTTGATACTTACTGATAATGAAACATTTTTTTACAGTTTCATAATTTTAATACTCTTTTGTTCCCTGGATAGGTTGTACCTAGAGTGAAGACTGTAGATGTCTTTCCTTATAAAATTTACAGTAATGTTTAACTCAAATGACATTTAGAGATATTGCAAATCATCTTCAGAGCTCTAAATATTGAGTAAACTCTTAAACTCTCCACACAAAAGTTAACACATAAAATAGGAACACTCATCTAATTTTTTTATATTTAAATATCTCTCTGGTTTTACTGAGAAGACTAACTGGTAAATGAGAAAACTAATAATCTTCATAGCCCTTAGTAATAAGTTACTAAGAATGATCTTTAAAGAAAAAAAAGAATGATCTTTAATGCTTAGCTAAAGAAGGATTTTAATATGCACAACATTACACGGAGAGCCACAAGGGGAATCGGGAGAGAACATAAAATTCATACTTTCTTGATGGTGGGACATCATGACATTTTCATAAAAATCTCTCAAAAGCTAGCCTTCAGATATTTTCTTCCCAAGTTTCTTCAAGGAACCATTACCAGAAATATTACAAGAGAAACATTATGATAGATGTCGTGTAATGACATTCATTCTTCATGCAGATACTGGCTAATAATCCTTATTTCACAATTTCACAAGTAAGACATCATTTGGTAGTACTGAGTATTTTGAAAATACTAGCATCAAAATTATACTTTATATTAAAGTGAGAATCATTAAGACCCAAACAGGTACTCCTTCTGAGGAGAAAACTAGTGCTAAAGATTGGGAAGCAGGAACACTGCCTTTCTTATGACAGAGAAAGCTAAGCTTACTGTAAATAGGAAACAATTCAGTATTACTAAATTTCACCGGTCTTCACTGCTTCAAATTAGAGCCATGTACTAAAAAGGCACTGAAGGTAAATTAATAAAACTGAGTTTCTAAAGTAAGGGCATCTAAGGTCCTGGATTTCTGATAAGCTGCCAAAATGATACAGGCTAAGAGCTGACCCAGCCACCTCTTTCTCAGTCTCTCCTATATACTTACAACATTAAAATGATAACATTATCAAAATGCTTATAAACTAACCATCATGGTAATGTACGTGGCAAACTTAAAAAAATGGCTTCTAAGCATTTAAAAGTCAATGAGATAACTAAGTCTAACACTATCTACAAATAAAGAAACATTACATTGAATACAAAAAGGTTTTAAGAGACTAAGGGGGAGTATCAAGTTTGTTTTTTCATTTCCTATCTCATTTAAAACAAGAATTTTATTCTCTCTCCCAGATATCAGAAAAAGTCTATTGAGCTTAAGAAATCTGGATATGGAATAGCCAAACTGAGATCAGATGATTGTTCTGTTAAAACAAGGATCTCCGGATTGGGGATTCAGCAAGAGGGAGACATCTGGCTTTGAAAAGTCATTGTTGGGTGCTATTTGGAAGAGATGAGAAAGGTAGACAAAGAACCAAGTTCTTGTCTACCACAATAATATTCTATTAAACTTTATGTACTAAATATACTATAATAACCACATTATCTAACAGTTTAATAAAGTGAATCAAAATGAATAAATATTCTTAAACAGTAAGTTCAATGTAGAACAATATAACACAGAAACAGAACAATTCTTGGGACTTGGAAGAAAGATACTGGCAGGATAACATTTGTATAAAGATTCTACCTTCAACATGTCTAAAGCCGTGATCACAACACTATTTTTCTTTTAGCCATTTTTCTTACTTGGAGGTAAATCACACAGTACTATCCAAATTTACTGAATGTCACTGAAACAATCAATTTCAAGTTCTGTTCTGCGTAAGGTATAACTTCTTTATGAGAATGTGATCATAGCATGGAGTCTAACTTAAAGAGAGACTAACATTTTGCTTTTTGAAGAAGTGTCCTGAACATCAAAATCAACAATTGAATATGACACACCAACTCTTTCTTTTCCACCAAAAGAATCAGTACTTGTTTAGCTTTTATTTAACTACTGGTGAGTCTGACTCAGTGTTTTCTCCTGAGAAAAGTCAGAAGGCAAAGGCTCTGCCAAGTTCTTTTCCAGTGTGCTGAGGAAGAAAGCTTTTCGAAAATGAAAATGGAAGATGCATGGATGTTATTATTGCTTCTTTAAGAAGTGATTACCTCAGACAACAAACAAGGGGTTACTTTCCAATTTTTTTGAGAAATATTTAAATCCTGGAATAATGGAGATCCACTTTGGACTTTCTCACTATTTCACAACCATATCCCACTGAACAGTTTTTATCTAGGTACATTAGAATAATTCAGTGACTTCCATTATCATACAAATATACTTCTCTCACTATAAATTTGAATCCCTTTGAAGGAAAGAAAGTGAAATATAAGAGTTAAAAATAATAGTTTAATTCTGGGCCAGTCCCTCCAAGTTACATGGTCCATTGCTTTAATAGAAGAATTGTACGTAAAACGAAGAAATATATTCTTCATTTAATTTTATCTGTGTAAGCATGGAACAAAATTAAGAGAAGAAACCATTTTTTTGAAATCAGTGAGAAATGGATTTGTATATTGGCATAGAGGATGGACCTTCTGGAAGGTCATACATATCTTAGGGTCATCATCATCCTAGCAATAACTCGTAACTATCTTGCTTTACTTTCGGTCACATCCATCCTGCCAGGGTAGTATACCCAATTTTAAGGGAGAAGAATCTGAGTTTAAAATCAACAAGTTGACTTTCCAGGTCTCAATCAGAACTAGAAAAGCTAGATAAAATAAAGACATCAGAGTGAAGTCATTGGAGAGCTGAAGAGAGACACAATTCCTGGGCAGGAACAAGGAGCAGTAGTGAAGTGCACCCACTGCCCGCCACAGCTTTCTCCTTGGGCACCTGAATCCCAGCTGGGTGCGGGGTGGGGGCCTGGCAGCGGGAAAATCCATAGAGCTTTGGGCAGTCTTTTTTTTTTTAATGCAATATTATTATTTTAATTGTAGTATAGTTGATTTACTACATGTAATCTTTTACTTAACGTGTTAATTTCTGGAGCACAGCTTAGTGATTCACATATATATATATATTACTTTTTGTATTCTTTTTCATTATAGGCCATTACAAGATATTAAATATAGTTCTCTGTGCTATGCAATAGGACCTTTTTTTAAAAAATGTATATTTTTATTGTAGTCAGTTTACAATGTTGTGTCAATTCCTGGTGTCCAGCATACTTCAGTCATACATGGACCCACATTTACTCGTTTTCACTTTCTTTCACCGTAAGTCACAAGACATTGAATATAGTTCCCTGCACTACACAGTATGAAATTGTTATTTATCTATTTTACATATATTAGCCAGTATCTGCAAATCTTGAACTCCCAATCCACCTGTCTCCACCCCCTTCCCTCAACCCCTGCCTGTAACCACAAGTATGTTTTCTATGTCTGTGAGTCTGTTTTTGTTTTGTAAATAAGTTCGTCTTTTTTTTTTTTTTTTGGCTTATTCTCTCCTAAGATTCTAGTTATAGAAATCTTTTTCCTCTCATTAGATTTCCCATGTCTTAGTCCCTCTTCTGTATCTTCCATGCTTTTTTCTCTTCAGGCTTCACTCCATAGGTCTTCTTTTGGCCTATTTTCCAGTGTACTAATTCACTTTTCCTGCGTCTAACCTATTAAACTCATCCATTTACGTTCTTGATCATTAAAATATTTTAATTTTAGAATTTCCATTCTTTTTATAGTTTTTGTATCTCTACCAAGTTCCTTATTCCTTTCTTTTCTGTACTTGTCCATAGTAAAACTTGGTTACTTCTGTTAGTACAGTCTTATATTCTTGTGTGCCTGGCTATTTTTCATTATGTGCTGAACCTTATATGTCTTTTGAAATAATTGAGTACTAGAATGATGTTACCTTCCTCAAAAGAGAACAGTCATTGATTTTTACCAGGTGCCTTGGGCACTACTAAACTAGGATCTTCTCAATCCAATTTTAGGGATTCAGCTGACGGAAAGCTGAGCTTTAGTCCCTGTGAATGCTTACTTCCAAATCATCCTTACTGCAAGGCAACCTCCTTCAGGGACTCAACACAGGCTGAGAGAGTCCGCCAGGCCCACCCCTCCTTTGGCAGGCCATACTCTCCACTTTGTACCGCTGTAGGTTCATGAAACTACTGAAAAGGCCCACTTACGTCTTTGTGCCCTCTCTTGAGTTAGCAAACAGTCAGGGGAAAAAGCAGCCCCAAAGTCAGGTTCACCCTACTTGGCCTCCTTAGCATCCTGTCCTGGTAATTTTTCTGTACCTTTATCCTGTGACTTCAAGCAGACTTAAGAAAAAAAAAATTGTACAGCATTTGTAATTGGCTCCAGTGGACAGGCAGGTCGTAACTACTTACAATGCCATATCTAGATGTTTCCCAAGAAAAATCTATAGAAGTCATGGGCAGATTTTCTTCTTTTAAAGAAAGGAATTCCAGTACTTCAGGTCAATACTGTCCAGTAACAGGAAAAGCTTTCAAAGTATTTTCTCCCTTACCTGCTATTGCTTCAATGCTTGGAATCACAATAGTGCTGTAAGTACTGATCCTCTTACAAGACCATGTATAAACCAAAGAATCTTCCATGTTTTCCAGTCCAGAAACCGAATCAATAAAAAAAGAGCCCCATTTTTTAGATAATGTATTTAGAGCTTTTGCCTTCGGTCCCTGAAACAAGAAATAGAATAAAAATTGTGGTTATTTAGCGTTCAACCTCATTGTAAATTTTCCCCTCCACTAAGTAAATCAAAAGAGAAAAACTCTGTAGGAATTTGAGTTGTTTAACCAGACTGTGTACTATATAAAAAGTAAAACAAAGCTCAGCAGTCCTTTAAAATATTCTCTCCTGGCTTTGTCTGGGAACCCCTTCTCATCCTTAGTAGCTGCTGAACAAGAGAATGTTGTCAGACTGGTTGTTTGTTTAATAACGAGTGGCCTTAAGAGATCTCTGCTAATCCAATAAGCTCCTATGTCTGACAGTTGTGATAAAATTTTTGAGTATTGTTCTGAAATATGTCTTGTGTAGAGAGTTACATCAAATCCTGTCTCAATCACAGTGAGTGGTTTTATTAAGGATGTATATAGGACAGAGAATTAAACACATGTAAGCTAAGTTACATATGTAACTTTCTCTTTCCATAGTTTAATGAGTCAGAAATGACTCATTTAGTCTTAAAAATGAAAAAAAGGTATATGTGTGTATAAATGATGCCATGGTCACTGATCACAATGGAAAGGGAAAAGAAGTTTTTAAGAAGAAGAAGGAAAAAACCTGAATATAACCAATTTCTTCTACCTAACTTGCAATTTAGTTTTATCGACAAGATTTACAGTTAAAGAGCCCCGAGAAAAAACCTAACCAACTGAAAATATCTCATGGAAAGTAATTGGAAAGAAGAATGTAACTCCAAACTCATTATACCCTTTATGAGAACAAAGGAGAAAATGTCCCTAATATTGAAATACTTACTACTGCTATATAAAACTGAACTATGTCATGGCTGCGAAGAATCAGCAGGCACCAAAATGCTTGAATCACCAAGGTCAAGCAAGTAGCCTTTCCTTATTATGCAGTATTTTTCATCTTAGATGGGAATTGGTTTAATGGTCAACTGGGTAATCGGATGTATTAAGATTTTAGAAAAAGTTTCTAGGCAAAAGACACTGAAGTACCATTTGAGATGTTCTCTGTCCTTATCCTGAGCTTTTGTTACAAATGAAGGGAGGTGTCAGTGATGCTCACATTCCAGATGGTTTTACTGAGGATGGAAACTACTGTACATGTATGAGAAACTGAATTCAAGCCTAAGCAAAACAAAATGCTAAATTCCACAGAACATAATAAATGTAAACGTTCTGGCTCACACCATCAATCTGGAAATGATCTGATTAATTTGGTTTTTAATTATACTTTTGAAATTCTAGTTAGGCTGAATAAAGTAACCAGAAATATGGAATTAAATCCTTTTGCATTCAGACTTTGTACTCCCTCAAAGACTGCATATTATTTATGTTCTGTGTTTGACATATGGTTAGAAAAGCTAAACTACATTCTTCTTAATGATCACAAAATAGAAGACTCCTCAGATGCTGCTTTCTGTTCAGCTCTCTTTACGGACTTTCCCCTCCTGCTGCAGCAACTGAGGATGTCTGCGTTCTCCTCCACAGGGAAGCAGGAAAGAATCTGAGCTCAGATAGCATGGAAGAAGTGTGCTATGCAGAGGAATGGACCGGAACTTAAATATGACAGCAGTCAGACTTTTAGAAGTTGTGGCTCTGGGTTTATATTAAAAGATAATTTTGGGGGAAAAAACCCCACATAATTAATTCATCTACCTTAAACTAAAACTATGTATGACAGCATTTTTCACAAATCTGATACATAAGTTGGCCTGAAAGATCCTTAGGATGGGCCCGTCAATACTGCCTTAAAAACAAACTCCAGAAACACGACGGCATTCACTCAGACCAGGGTAATTTTGGAGTCAAGCAGTACAAGGATGCTTTGGCTTTTCAACATAATGCTCTGGCCACCGTGGGAGTTCTGAAGCAAAACACATGTCTCTGACCCCAGCAGACAAGGGAATCCGTCCTCTAAAACTTCACTTCTCCTAGGACCTCAACAGTATGAGGGATGGAGCTCAGGGATAAGCCTGGAAGCTTCTGAGGCCTTTGTTCTAACCCTGTCACTTGGTCAAGCGCTCCCATTCCTTCCTTGTTTCTTGCTTAGTTTTGCTTTTATACACTATTTTCCCTTTCTAGATTTATGGCATGTTTTACTTTTCTTTCCCTCAAGTCTTCACCTAAGTTCATTCTAGGTGGCTCCCGAGTAAGTCTAAAGGAGCTACCAACTTAGTTACGTTAGACCTGTGAAGAGTTCATGGCCAAGCAGAAGAGACAGAGGGTAACTACAGTGAGTCAGGATCGGGCTGCCTCGTCATCAGCCCAAACACGCCCATGGTCCCACAGCCCTGGGTGAAGGCAGAGCGCTGGGCAGACAGACACATGGTCCACAGCACTGTCTGAGCACTGTTTAAAAACTATCAGCAAGATCAACTGTAGCGCTGAAATGGCACGGAAATCACAGTAGGTGCCAAGAGATTACATCACTCTAGGCACAAACAAGCACTTTTCAAGATATGTCAAACACAAAGCTTTTCCTTTCAAGGAAAGAGCCCAAGAGAACCCTTACCTCATACTTTCCCTTTTTCTCCAGAGGCTCTGATTCCTCAGGCTTCCCGTCTCTGTCCCCACTGAGCTCTTCCAGGATGAGGACCGTCTCCCAGTTACTGTAATGACGGGCTGGGAAGATATCTGAATGCATGCTATCACCAAAGTAAACAACCTGTAAGTCAGACGGCAAATTCTGTTTGAGACATGAGAATTGTGAGAGAGAGGTGTTCATCTTGCAGAAGGCAGAAGGAAATTCCTCAACAGCAATCAGAGTAAGACGTGTAAAAGTTGCATACATATCTTAAACTTCCTTGAAGAACTTCACAGGTGACCATCCTCTTATCCTGTCTGACTCGCAAGGAATCAGGTGTCGGGTGTAGAAAGCTACACAACTCATTTGCAGGTAGAAGGCAGGCAGGAGATTAGTGAATTAATTCAATTCAATGAAAAAATGAAAGAGACCGTATGTTAAAGGTAAACCTGCCCAGTGAAGAGCGGGGGAAATACTGGAGACAGCCTGGGGCAGCGGGTTAGGCTAGCAGGAATGCGCAGCACAACCCATTTCCCCGGTCCTGGGCCCCACCCAGACCCGCTGAAACAGAATCTCTGAGAGTGGGTGGGGCTGGGCAAGCGGACTCTGGGAAACCTCCCAGATGTTCTGAGGCAAAGCCCTGTTGATCTTGTCCACACCTCTCAATTTACAGATGAGAAAACAAAGCTGAAGGAATATGAACCAGAACCTCAAAGTCAGGAGTCCCCAGGGGGCTATGACAGTGTGGGAGCCCATGGAACAGGGACAGTGACCCAGTGACCCCGTGACCTCTCCTGATCATGGGGCTCCTGGCGAACATTTTTTAGAAGAAAGGGTCCTGCTGTTAAACATATACCAAAGTCCAACATCAGTAATGTGACCAGGATGTCAAAAGCCAGTGTGTCTTTAGACTGGTCTATAGTATAACTAGTTATTACTTGTTTCATATATAAACATGTTTTTGATGGACAGTTATCAGGATGTCATTCTTCAAGTATTCCACACACTGATCCAGCATATCCCCTAGGTCTGTGGCCTGCTTGGAATCTCTGCTTTTCTGTTACAGATAAAGACCCAGTGCACATCAAGAAAGGAAAGGCTTGTTTAAGCAGAACTGGTAGAAGAGGAGATTGGTAGACAGAGGCAGACAATTCCCTCACAGATAACTATGCTGAATGCATGCAGACTTACGGTTTTAGTTCACGATGGTTTCTATCTGCGAGTGGCCACAAAGGACTCTACCTCAGTCAGAACATACCTTAGGTTCAGGCTTGCTGGTCATTTTCTTCAGAAGTTCATACAGGTGGACAGCGTTCCCTTGGGAGTACCAGCCAGGCTTATCCAGAGATGGCAGTGCCTCCTGCTCCTCGTCATTCTCTGAAAGTACAGTTTGACAACCATACACGTTTTAATCAAGTGACAGCACCCAGTTGGACAGAGCACACTGTGGCATGGCTGTAGGACAGGTACAAGACGGAACCGTATGGAGATGGGGGCTGGCATCCAGTGATCACCTATATATCATAAGCACTTCATGGATATAACATATTTTTTTAAAAAATCCTTAGAGCAGTTTTAAGTTCACAGTAAAATTGAGGGGAAGGTACAGAGATATCCCATACACCCTCTGCCCTCACAAAGGCAGAGCCTCCCCCATGACTGGTGATAATGAGTCCACATCACAACAATATGAGGTGAGTTTCTGCATGACTTCAGGTATTTTGAACGAAGAATTCTAAAAACACATTTACAGATAATTAAAAGCCCCATCACAGCAACTGGTAGCTATGGCCAAGAAATACTTACGCCTATTTGGTTGACATTCCAGCAGCCATTTTTGAATTCTTCCACACAGTCAAATGAAAACCCTACTATTCTCTAAAGAGTAGGTCATAAACCAATTATGTATTAGCCTAACATGAAGAGTCTAAGAAGACTCACCACATTCCTGGAGAAACACAGTGAAAACCAATTATTTCGCATGTCTGTCTGTCTTTATTAGCACAGAATGTCTTACCATGTAAATAATGTGGGCTTGGTAGCAACTGGAAAGTGAGTAATTTACGCAAATATTTTTTAAAGCAAATTCACATTTGATATGTAGAGACCCACTCTGCAGGAACAGTGAGAAGGGAATCTTTCCACTGCTTATTAAAAACAAATCTATAGAATTATAAGTTTTCAAATATTGGGACTCAATCATTAACAAAGAGGAGAAAACCCTTCTTTACGCAAAGACCAAAACAAAAAACTCACTTTACAGAAAGATGCACCCCCACCCCACCCCGCCATTCCAGCCCCTACACTGGGAGCTGCTCTGCAGGGTGCTGAGCCGTGCAGGGCAGGCCTGGGACGCTGCAGGACTCAGAAAACTCCAAACCCCAGCGCTGGAGAGCCAGCGAGGCCTGGGAAAGCACTGCAGCTGAAGTGGAAGCTGTACAGTCAAAGGAGCAAACTCATGGAAGTTTCAAGCACAATCTGCACAAACCCAAATGCTTTCACACTTCTTTTCATGGTCTACGGGAAACAGTTATATGAACCTGCTTTTCCACATATAATATAAATTAATGAGCCCTGCAAGAAGTACAATGATGACACTGACTTGAAAAATTTTAATTAAGAAATACTAGAAGATAAGCTCAAGAGGAAATCAAATAGAGGACAAAGGGGCGGAGAGTGTGATTTGTTTCCTCAGTTTTAAGTGGGAATAATCACAGTACTTCCCTCAGAGAGTGAGTGTATACGTGGGTTATTACAGAGGAAGCACATGATATGGGACAGTGTGCCACGCAGTGTTCAGGAAGTCTTGGCTGCTACCCCTTGTTTGCAGGCGTAGAAATGGATACCTGGGAAAGTTAAGAAATCTGCCCAGAGCTACTTCATTGTTACAGTTACCCCTCAAAAGACTTCAAATTGGAGCTAGAAGATGGGTTAAGACAACAATCAGTTAAAGCAAAATAGTAAATCAAACTAAAGTGCTTTTGAAAACTATAATTTGCTTCTGGATACACCTGTGTTTTATAAATAACAAAGTACATCTTCTCATTTTCCTACTGTAAGAGCATATGGACAAATAAAAAAAAACCAGTACATTTCTAGTCAACATAATAGTTAAAAAATTCATGGGGAAATGATACAGTCATTGAATGTACACTAAAAGCAGAGAAACACTCGTGTAGAGAGAACAGGAAAAAAAAACTCATAGAAAAATAAAAGGCATTCATCTCAGCAAGGACAGAGTAATGGGCACATGTAGGGAGCAGTTAGAATAGAGATGAAAAGGTAATTTAGCAACCAGGTTTGAAATTAGCCCTAGAATGCTATAGGGAGCGGGGAGCCAATGAGACTGTGTGTATGTGACTGGGTATACTGTAAGCCTAGCAGTAATAAGCGAGTAATATAAACTGTATCGAAAAATTAAAAGCAAGCAACAAACAGAAATCGGTGCCAAAGAAAAGTATTTGAGGGCAGTGGGCAAGGGAAGGAAACAGGTATAAAGTGAGGGCAGAGGGAGAAGTCAGAGCCCCATGGGGAAAAGTGATGAAGGCTTAAAGGGAAGGGAGGGGACAGCAGAGATGAAATAATTCTGAGGTAGATTAAACAGGATTTTACGAAAAAACAAACTAAGAACAAACCAGAAAACCCCAGGGCTTGATGCACAGTATCCTGGATGTGAAAGGGTGAAGATAATGGAAGTTTCTGTACTTCAGTGCATGGTCCAGTAACGAAGATGAGGAATACAACTCGGCCAGCATGTTTGGTTGCTGTTTGCTTCCTAGGTGGAAGGAGAAGCCAGTTTGATTTCAGAATACTGAGTGCAGCTGTCTTGTGTACAAGACAAAACACGGTGTGAGGCTCTGGAAAAGACATCTGAGTTGGGGAAAGATTTGGTGACAGCTGAGACCAAAGACAGCAAGTTGGGTCATGATTCCCAAATTGGGGGGGCGCGAGGGAGGGGTAATTTGCAACACAAGACAAACATGGTCCCTCTCCCAAATTAATTTCCACATCTTGCAAGGTGGACAGACCCCCTTACCTCTCTGCCCAGCCTTAGCTCTGGTGAGGAGCTGGGTCATGTAGTGAGCAAGATGGGGATCAGGAAAATAACAAATTTTGCATAGAAGAGGCTCCTGGCCCCACTTCTTATTCTCACCTAGGGTTTAAGCTGGAAGGAGCTCATTCTCCCACCTGCGGGGCACCATCCTCCCTTTTGCGTCTCCATGACAACCTCTGACATCAGTCCTGTGCGACTGTGCTCAGGATGCTGCAGAGCGGCGGGCTCTGGGATTGGCTCGCTGCGCCTTCCATCCCCGCAACCTCCTCAGTCTTAATTTTACTTTTGACTTTAACCATTTAGAGCAGTGATGCGATTCACGTGACACCGGACTGTCACGTAGGAGCCGACTGACAGTGACTTGCATTGTATAATAACATTAACTGCCGAATGTTGAATGGTTTGCAGCTTACAAGGCTGAGAGATCAGTTAAGTACAGTGACAACCCAGACCTGATGTAATAGTGCACTCATTACGTAAAGGATGATAAGAGAGGGGCAGGAATGTGACAGGTGAAAGGGAGAGAAAAGCACTAATCATCCTGAGGATGACTGATTTTCCTAGCTTGGGCAAGATCTGTACTTGGAAAAGTTATAATGGAGTTACGGAATATGGGAAATTAAGGAGTTGTTATAGGTATGTCAAGTTCCATGCGATGTGGGGTCTGTGGGGCATCAAGATTTTAGAAGACAAAAATAAGCCTAAGGGAAAAGGGAAGCCAAGAAATAAGGGATTAGGAGTCATTAGTGTGTAGGTGACAGTTAAAACCAGAGAATGGTGGAGAGCTGAGGACAGCAGAAGAAAGGAGGGATGGCCAATGCAGAAGGCTGGAGAACAACATTTAAAGAGAAAGATGACGGGAAATCAGCAGTGGAAACTGAGATGGAGCAGCTGGAGGCAGAAGAATCAGAATCAGCAGCAAAATAAATACTATGACAGAACAAAATGAATTAGAGATTCTTTAATATGAACAGTATCCTCTTATTAATCATAGTGCTGGCAATCTTTCTGCCTTGTAAATGGGAATATACTATTTTGTGTTAGCTCCAAAAACTGTAGGATTCACTGTGTCTTACAGCGAAATATTTTAAATCAGAGGTCTAGAAAAACTAAAGCTGGAAAGAACTTTAGAGATCTTTTTCTAGTCTAATTCCTGCTAGGTGTGAAAAAACTGAGATAAGCTTTTCCAAACATCTATAGAAAAGCATGAAATCCCATATATTTTGGGGTCCACAGGCATTTTATTCTAATCATTATAGACAGTGGTGATAGGACTTTGGGTCCTACTTAAGCCATCCAGACTTTTCATCTCTTAAAGATTTATAACATTTTCATACTATAAATTCAGTCAAGATGACTTTCAAGTCTTTTTTTTTGTCTTTTGCTAACTTTTTTTTTTAACATTTTTTATTGATTTATAATCATTTTACAATGTTGTGTCAAATTCCAGTGTTCAGCACAATTTTTCAGTCATTCATGGACATATACACATTCTTTTAATGAATATAATGTCTGAAAATATAATTTAGAGAATCATCATTATGTCAGTCCTTGAATCTAATTTGATACTGTAAAACCAAAAGAAAAAAAAATATACTGCACAGAAGTTGTAAGACAGGTACCTCTATGTGGTAACAGTTTTTTTTTAAAATTAACCCTTTTATCTCCAGATACTCTTCAATTTAAGAGAAATACTGCATAAATGTGGTAATTTGCCAGCATAAGTGAATGCATTTGTGCTCTCCAATGTGTTTAAAAATTCGGTGTATTTTTAATGTGCATTGTTTTCCATTACTGGTGTTTGTATGTGTGTGTCTGTATGAAATTTCAATAAAAATCTTTGTGAAACAGCTTAAGTACTATTATAGGTATTAAACAGATACAGATTTTCTGGGATCAAAATATGAAAACCCTGCAGATAAAAGTAAAAACAAACATTTCTTGAGTACTTAGTTAATGTATTTAAATACAAGTTTGTGAAAAGGGGGGAAAAAAGTGAAATTTTTTTCTAGTTTAATGCAAAGTATTCTTATTTTAATTTTAATACCTGATTATTTCTTAACATCAAGGATTTATATAAGACATGAAACCAATAAATAAAAAACACCATTATGTCTCCCTTTCTACTAGACCAGTGTGTCTTAACCTTCGCACTCCTGACGTTTGGGGCCAGATAAGTCTTTGTTGGGGGTGGTGGGGGTGCTGTCCTGTGTGCTGTAGGCTGGTTAGCAGCATCTCTGGCTTCAACCCACTGGATGCCAGCAGCATCCCCCCTTCCAAGTTGTGACAACCAACTATGTCTCCAGACGCTGCCAGGTTTGTCCTGAGAAGCAAAACTGCCACAGCTGAAAACAATTCTACTAGACATTTCTCATCAACACATATGCATATTCTAGAATCTTCAGTTTAAAAAAAATAAATTACAGATCTTCCTCGTTTTACAATGGAATTACATCCTGCTAAACCCAGCGTAAGTTGAAAATGCATTTAATATGCCTAACCTACCGAACTTAGCCTAGCTTAGCTTACAAGTGCTCAGAATACTTTGCACATAGCTGTCAGCCAGCAGGCATTTACTGAGTAAGCAAATGAACAAATCTTAAATACGACAGGAAAGATACAAAACATTTTAACTTACCGAGTGTCCGGAAAGGCCTCTGACTTGGTGAATGTGAGAAGAAACCAGGCTTCAATGCATTTGTAATCACAATGTCAAAAAGATCTTCAAAATCATTCCTAAAAAGCAATGATAGTTTATTTTAAGGAATTAGAAGTGGTCCATATAAAACAGAACTTAATTTTTGCCGATTTGACCACACATCATTTCTTAACCTTTTGATTAACTTTTACATACTTTCTATACATTTTAGGGTGAGCCTTACACTGGAAATGGAAGGTGGTCAAGCACTAATCATCCTGACAACACCCTAAAGTATAAACATAAGGGGGGAAAAGCACATTAACTCATTAACTCTAGGTGCTAAGCTGGCTTTCTCACTATGGCAATAGTTCAAGTAGGTAAATGCAATAGTTTCTAACATCTAAAATATTCACGCACTGTGTTCTCAAATTTGGGGCCTGAAATTTGTCTGGACTTATTAGCATCAAGAGTTATTAATAATTTTGTGTGTTACTTGGGTCCTACAGAAAGCTGGCATTGTATCAACACTCACCTTTCAGAGAGTGTTCAAAACGTGAAGATACCTTATTTCGAAAATCGGGGTAGTCTTATGGTAATTTTAGATAACAGTAATAATTGTTTTCTAGTCTTCAGTTAATACTATATTAAGGATCATGGAGAACAGCAGAGGAAAGACAGTCCTCGTTCCTGATGGACTCACTATTGCACTGGGGAGAAAGCATTTACCCAACATTCCAGAATACTGTAACACAGGAAAACTGCACTACACAGGAATTAAGATATAGAGAAAACTTGTGGTTATCTATGCTAATGAAAAAGAAATTAAGACTCCCAAGTGTTTATTCTGAAGCATGGTCCCACTACTAGGACAGCAAACGTCTCTATAAAAGGCACCTTCCAAGGTATTCAGGACTTCAACCTTAATTCACTTCAAGGATCCCAAACCTATACATTAATCAGAAAGGAGAAAACCTCAGACAGGTTGTAAATATACCACAAACCAATTTGAACCCACATGTTTTGAGGAACATGAAAATCAGGAAGCTAAACAAGTTGGCCAGAGGTCAGTTTTGAGGCTAAAATTTGCTTCATAGTCACAGCAATTCAGGACAGTATCTGCTAAAATCTGAGGAAACATTAGTGGAGGTTAACTTCCCATTTTAGACTCTAGCCCTGATTATGGATATTCCCTGGTATTTCCCATAAGAATTCCATAAATAAGTATCAACACTTACAGAACCTTACCAACTCTGCCTAATACTTTACCTGTAATGTACTATTTAAACTTCGCCTCACACCTATGAGGTATTATTGTCCCATTTTTAAAGATGATGAGATTGAGGCTTAGAGCGGTTACAGAACCTACCCCAGGTCTCAGAGTAAGCTGCAAGGCAGGGCTTGAGCCCACACCAGTCTTATTGTAAGTCTATGCATTTATATTGCCTCCATGTCCATGGATGTCCACCCCATCCCTGGCTGTGCTAAATGGTGAAGCACCAGGCTCCACACTGGGATGGCCGCTGAGAGGTTGTACTCCAGGTGTGTGTTAGGGAGTAAAATCTACAACCCAGTGTCCCTCAGTCATCCAAAGCTGAGACACCACATTCACGGAGGACTGCCTGAAGGCCATGCAGTCTATTCACCTTCCAGAAAACCTAAAGCCCAGACCACCAGCGGGTATGAGCACACTGGCCCCAGTAATACTGCTTTGCTAAAATGTGCCTGCGGTGCATGGCTGTCAGCAACAATGTTGAGGGCTGTTAGGAGAAACAACCACTAGTCACTCAGAATTGTTTAATATAATGATACGGTCATGGTCCAGCACTTTTAAAAAAGCACTGGTCTGATTTGTTATGTTTTATAAGACCTTGAAAGTGAAGACTCAGCACTTACCCAAGGATATATTCACAGAGGAGTCTACAGTAATCACTGTGAGAACTGGTAATTAACATAAGAATTTTCCCAGCATTCTTTAGCTGTTGAAGCCACTTTTTAACAGATTCTGGACAAGTGCGTAAATATCTGCCTGGATCTCTTTTTATTTCTGGAAAATATATTCCACAATTTTCTGAAAAATAAAAATATGAAGGAGATTAAAGAAATTTTTTTTTGACTCAGTGTACTCTCACATTTTTCTCTCTCAAAGCTATAGGTAAAATTAAAAGGATAAAAGGTAGGTTTGAACAATCTAACAATGATACCATTACTGTTTCTTAAGACTACTTCTTGTTCTTTACTTAAAAACATGATGATTAAAAATGTGAGTTGAAAATACTTTTTGGTTATTTGACAAGGACTGATAAAGTGTTAAAAAAAAACAGATCATATGATAAATACAATACGATCAGCATTTTCAAACCAGAGAAAACCTTACTGCATTTGAAATGTCAATTAAAAATATTCTTTTAATCATTCAACAAATATTTGCTGAATACAGGTAACAAACAAATACTCATTCAGATAATGCACCTGGAACACGTCTTTGGCATGAAGCAACCAAGAAGGGAGATGGGTTCCTCAGGGTCAGTGTTGTTTTAGACAGAACTGAGACTAGAAGCCCTGGTCTATTACAGCCCCTGGGAGGCGCTGTGATGTTAAGTGGTAAAACAAGCCAGAAAAGGCAGGACGGCAACGCAGCTGACCCAGAAAGCTGAAAAGCCTGAGTCACTGAGCTGAGCCTGCATGCTCTCTCTGTCTCTTTGGGTCTTTAGAGAGTCCAGGGGGTCAGCCTGAGCTCCAGGGCAGCTGGTGCCAACATCTCCAGAAACCCTGGTCACATGCACACACAGTGTTTGACATGGTTCCTTAACAGTTTTATGTACTTAAGGCAGACAACTGCAGATTTGGTCGAAATGCTACTAGATTCATAAAGCACTTTAGAGATAACTGTTCTTTGGGCTTGACAGTACTAGTAAGCAAACAAAAGGAACTCGAGTTCTTACTTTCCTTAACTGCTAGAGAAGGACACATGCATAAACAAAACAACAAGTGAAAGAGCTTGAACTGAGTGATAAATTCTGCAGCAGACACAGGCTAGACCTGTAATTCTGTACAGCGCCATGCACTTAAAATGAGTGAAATGAAAGTTGTACTTTAAGAATATCAGGACAGGAAAGAAGAGTCTCTGAGCAAAAAAAGAAAAAGAAAAAAAAAGAAAGAAAGAAAAACAGAAATACCTTAGCTGGTGAGTATTCTGATTTTGTTTGGTTTCATCCTCCTCTGTAGGGCTGGGTGCTCAGGGAGGGTGGCCTCTACCAGGCTAACCTAACACGGTAATTCCTTCCCAAGTCTTGGTCATGTAAAATAACCCAATTTAATAATAGTTTAAATAGTAAGGATATCTATTATTTGCAGCCTATAGTATCTGTAGTCAGAAAACAATACTGTAATACTGTAAGAATTCATCATAACCAGACCAAAACAATTACTTAACAAAAGAAGGGACATTTTACAACATGAAGATAATATTCAGTCATCGGGAGACCATGAACAAAAACAAACTTCGTGTTCTTCTTATATTCTGCCCCACAGAGAGCATGTGTGTAAACCTCTAGGACTTCTTAATATTCCAGAAGCTATGTAAATTTCATTAAAAAATTAAAATATATCTTCTGCTTTCCAGGGAAAAGAATGTACCAGTAGGCAAGGACTAATTGAATAAAGAGAAAATGATACAATTAAATGGTTAAAAACAGAATAGTTTGATGAATGAGTGACTATCAAAGTCCTGGCAGAAGCTGTGTCTCTTACGTAAGGTTATTTCACCCAGAAAAACAAAGCTTTTGCAGCAACAGTAGTATTACAGGATGGATAACAAAAGATTTATAGTATATAATGCTGAAAACATAATCTAGTTAAGCATCTGTATTCAGAAACAAGGGCTAAGAAAAAGGCTATTTTTTCTGTAGCTTTATGTGCTTGGTGCCATCTAGTGATCAAAATATAAATTACTGTTAAAAACATACTGTTCCATTTCCAAATGAACAAAAATAAAGCATATACATTTAAATACTGTATTTTAAAATTCTTGCCTAGATTAATACTAGTTGCCCTTAATAAGGGTAATCTAAGAGTGCAAACATCATAGTTTAGTTGGAGAAAATTACTCTTGAGGTAATAACGGGGGTGGTCTTTGTTTTATTCACAAACCAGAATGAATTGAACAGACTAAAAAAGACAAGTCCTGTACAAACAGATACCCAATGGCAGATATGTGTTACTCTTACTATAAAGATCATTAACTGTTGCAGGGGAAATATTTCCATCCACATAACCTCAAATCATTAAAGGAACAGGAGGTATCATTACACACATATACACTCATCTTTTTAAAAATTTATTTTTATTGATATAACTGACATATAACATTGTGTAAGTCCACGGTATACAATACACTAATGTGGCACGTTTACATAAGGCAGCATGATTACTATTACAGGGTTAGCTAACACCTCTATTATGTCCATAATTATCACTTCTTTTCTTTTTTTTTTTTTGTGGTGGGAACAATTAAGATCTAGTCTCTTAGCGATTTTGAAGTTTATAATTTAGTATTGTTGTCTGTAATACTCATATTTTTATTGAAATAAGTCAAGTTATTAAACCAAAGGAATTTATGTTAACTATACTACAATGGAATTAACAACTGCCTATTAAATTACTTGCCCAAAGTGACTGTAAACTCCTAAATGTAGGGAGTCTGCCTTTCTGCTGGGCATGGGGAAGTCATTCAATGAATGGATACTTAAATTAGAGCAGGGGCAGACCCAGGAACATTTATGTTTATTTTAGGTCAAAGTAGTAATGTGATTTGTAACATATAACTTACCTGTGACAAAAACTATCATTCCTATCATATCAAGATCATGCTATCTAAAGTATCATCCTCTTTTTTTCACCCCTACTGAAAAAATAATCATGTTATATTTTTATATTGATAGATGAACACTGACTAGACAGACAAGACAGGAAATTCACACCTACAGTGGAAAGAAAGGAGTGGTCTTGTTTCTTCTCAACTCACAAAATAGCCTGTGTTTTCAATTAACCTCAAAGGAATTCTATTTCACTGCTATTTTATGTAACTCATTTTCCTGGCCTTTGCACCCCTCTTATATCCTCAAATGCTGGTATTTTCTGTGTCCAGATGGGATTGAAAGTAAAATTTTTAAAAAGCTAGTTATAAAGAATAAAAGTTTAGCTCTACTATATTAAAATTCTGGTTAACATAGAGTCATGGAAGTAAGAGCCAAGTGTTACAACAGTCTGACATGCACAGAAAACAGCCTGCGTTTATCAAACATAATTCAGGATTTAGGGACCTCTGGTGGCAAAAAAAGTAAGTACAACTTGATTATTAAAAATACCTTTTTAGTTTAATAGACAATTGTGCCACATCATGATTTCTATCATCACAGAGTAAGTAAGCTTTTTGTTGTTGTTGTTGTTGTTAGCTGCACCACTACTGTTTTGTGATTTGCGGCTAGAGTTCTCAAAGCTGTCGTGAAAGAGATTAGAGATGCCGGGATGCCAAGATGCACCATCAGCCTCCAGTTAAGGTCTGTTATTTCCACTGCAGAACATAATGTAGGAAAGACTGAAACATTTATAACTTTCACAAGTTATGGAAGAGTATGCTAGGGAACAGCTAAAATGTTGAGCTATGAACTGTTGGAATGTACTTGTATAACAGATGATATAATTAATTTTTTAAATACATACATACTATATAATTTTTTTTTTGGCCAAGAGATATTGAAGTAGTTTTTGAAGGATAAGAGATAGACAGCAGATCATATATGTTCTAAATTTCTTTTATTTATAGAAGGCAAAAGATGAAATTTAATATTAAAAGATTTCTTATATTTGGTTCCTATGTGGTTTATTTCTATCTAGTTGTAAGTGAAGAACTCTAGAATATTTAGATTGAGTAAAGTGAAAATCTATATGCTAAATATCACACTTGGAAAAGGACAACTAATAAGAATTGAGAAATGAAGTGTGAAATTATTGCAAAATATAATCTATAAAATTTACATTTTAACAGTACCTGACTTCTATCTCTAGATATTATCCTACCCCAAAGATTCTGATTTAATTGGTCTGGGATGGGGTGATAACACTGATAGTTTTTCAAAGCTCTCCAAGAATTTCAATGTATAGCTAGGATTAAAAATCACTGCTCTAAGATATAAGAACTATCTGTATATCCTTCTTGTCTCACTGTATACCCCTGTCTCACTGGGCTTCCAGGGGGTAGGGATTTCTTAATTTTACAGTATCTTTACCACCTAACATCTAGCCTTGTACATAAGAGGCAATCACCACACAGTAACTGCTGCCGATGTGTGACGTCACACATGGGCATGAATACTGAATGAAGGACCTTGTCTGATAAAGAGAAGGCTTGTGCTGGAGATGAGAATGGAGAGAAGCGAAAAGGTATGAAAGTTGAAGATTCAAATGCAAGAGCACTGACAGCTAAGGGAGACTGGCTTGGTCCGTGTGACCTGATAGGCAACCTAGCTTTCTCCTACGGGTGGTGGTAGTTAAGTTATCATGCCTGGATCTGTGATTCCGCAACTGAGGGCAATAAGAATATTGTGGAGCATCTGTAACAAATATCAATTCCTGTGCCCCACCCTAGAGATCACTGGTGGGAGTCTGGGGCTCCAGAGATTCACACAATGCAATACTGCCTCTCCAGTGATGTGGCATTGTATACTGTATAACTCCAAGGATACACAAATCCTTACTTTATTTTTTGCATATGGTGCACTATTACATAGTATCATAGTTCAGGGCTTTGGGGGCTGATTAGAATTTGAGTAAGTCAGAGTTTGAAATTTGGACAAAATCAGATTTCTGCAGAGGAAAAAAATACCTATTGATATTCATTCTGTCTACTTACCTAGTCACAGCACCTAGAACTGGAAGGGGTTTTAGAAATCACTAACTTCAATGCTGTCCTATTAAAGATGTAGAGACCACAGATTTTGCTTGAAACTATAAAGTTAGTAATAAGCTTGAGAATGGAACAGGGTGCTCAAGAATTCTAGTCCCCTAAAC